TCCTGGGACACACATCTACATCAGGGGGACTCAGTGTTCTCCCATTTGCAAAGATATGCCCCGAGTTGGGACACAGCAGCACGATGAACACCTAGGGAATCCTCTGATGGAGGAAATCCTGGGATGCATCTCTGTAAATGGGTCAACCCAGACAGGCAATCCTGGGGCTTCAGGGGCCCAATTCTGCAGACCCCAGGAATGGGAATTTGTGTTGCCATAAAAATGTTTATGGTTGTCAGAGAGGGTATTTAATAGGGGATAGGTCACTCTAGAGATGCCCATTTGGATGCATCCACTTCTACCACTGTCAGAGACTGGGTACTGGGGTAGAGAGACCATTGGTCTGACTCAAAATTACATTTCTTCTGTTCTTAAGGGTGATGTCTGTTTAAAGCCTTAGACACTGCCACAAAAGTTGCCACTTTTTGACTGGCTTTTTGACACTACCCATTCACTAGGACAGGGGTCAACAGCCTATGGCCCATGAGCCAGATCCAGTCTACACAGGGTTGGATCTGGCCCAGGAGATCAAGTGGCATTCAGCTGCAATGAGCCACCGAATCCCTGTACAGCACTTCCTCCATAGCCCTTCCTGTTGCTCTCTTGTGCCTGCACTTACCCTTACTGCAGAGGGGCTGGTATCTGCAGTGATGGTAAGCACAAGCTTTTTGAGCTCCCAGGGGGTAGAGATCTGTGGCCCATGACAGGAAACCAGGTCACAAGCTCCAGCCCATGGTACCAAAATTTGCCGGCACCTGTATTAGGATATGGGGTTAGGGATACAGTTCAACTCTTTCATATATGCCACAAACAATTATTTGATAGTAATTTTGATTTCTGTCTGCACTAGATTAGAACCATGAAAAGCTCCCTTACCTGAGTCAATCGGTCATTTTAGAAGATGAAGATTTTTAGAATATGAAATTTTTGTGTCTTGGGGTAATTCAGAATATCAGTGTGGGTAGGTAGCTTAATCCTGTTTCACAGGTTTGTAGAATCTGAGGGTAGATGTAAGGTGCTATTATAACAGTCTAATCTGACTTCCTGCCACACAGGCCAAAGAACCTCACTTAATGATTGCTATATCAAGCCCACAGCACACCATGTAGATCAAGAATCCAGTATTGACTTCCACTGATGGAACCTTATGAGTGTAGTGGATTTATTTGTTCCAGTAGATAACTATGCCATTGCTATTGAGAAATAAGGTGCATTTTTTGGTCTGAGTTGTTTTAGCTTCAGCTTCCAAATACTGGATTTCCCCATGCCATACTCTGCTAGACTTCTAATGAAAAGTATTAATTAAAAACCATAGATTCATGGAGTCATAGAAGTAAGGATGGAAGGGAGCTGTAGTCCAACCCCCTGCCTAAGGCAGGATCATCCCTATCCAAACCATCCTATCCAAATCCATAAACTAAGCAAGGGGTTTTCATGTACCCCATGGGTACTTGGCATGGCCTCAGGGGGTACTCGGCAGCCGGCACCACCACCAGCACTTCTGCCACTGCTGCACCGCTGCCACTTCCACTGCTGCTGTGCCACCAGCACTTCCGCCACCACAGGGACACTCACCAATTCTCCACTGGGGGACCCCCCCCACTCATTGACTGGCTGCTGGGTGATCTCCACTCCCCGCTTGTCTGGCTGCCCGGGACTCCTGCCTTCTTGACCGGCCACTGGGGGTACACTGACCCAAAAAGGGTGAAACCCCTGAACTAAGCTACCATCAATCCTGATGCAACACACGACATAAAAAATACATTCAAAGTGGTGGTGGTATTACTATTAAAGCTCCATTTGCTTTAAAAAGTTTCCTTCCCATGTAGACCATAATTTAATTTCTTAAACATCTTTGAATAAACAAAATATTGAGCTTGTTTTAGTCTCTTGCTATAAGACCAGATGTGTTCCAGGCCTCAAATAATTTCTGGGCTCTCTCCTGAATGTTTGTCACTATCCTTTTTAAAACATGCATGCTAGAACTAGAATTTCTTAACAACTAGTACATTCTATTTGAATGAGGCAGAGACCTTGACAGAATTCTCAATAGGACAAAATTACAGAACAATCCAGGGGACTATTACATGTTAATTTTAATGGTATTTTTGTCTACTCAAGTTGATTAGACACACCCCAGAGGTCTATAACAGATTCCTGTACAAGTCCAGGAGAGAATAATGTCTTAGTTACATATTTTCACAACCTTTTATGAAAGTTACTACTTAATAGCATTTCATTTTGCTGACTTTTGATGGTTTAGGTGACAATGTTAAATTATAATTGATACTAATTGGGAGATGGGATATTCAAAAGCAGTCATTGGCAAAACCATTGGGTGAGGCTACCAAAAAATGTAATAAGAACAGGGTGGTAAGTTCTGAAAAATCCTGCCCCTAAATAAGTTGCATTATTACTATAGGCACCCTCTACATGATACATTTATGTCACAAAGTGTTAATTGTGGCATAAATAGCAAGGGTGCTACATGTGCATTCAATTTAAGGCATTATAAAATGGGAAACAAGCCATAACATAGTCCACATATAATGTAGAACATTTTTATGGCTGGTTTTGATAGTGCCTTAAAATTAACATATGGCCAGATTGTCAGTTCTTGGGCACAGATTGCACCAGGGTCTGGAATAGCCCCAGGATTGACAATCAACTTATTGTTGGGCCCAGCCAGAGGCTGAGGATGGGGAGGAGCCAAAGACCATCCTCTTCCCTCCCACAGACATAGGATTGTCTGGGCTAGAGCCAACAATTAGCTAATTATCTGTCCTGAAAGCCCTGGGTGAACCAGACCTGGGATGTTCATGTTTGGGGCTGACAATCAGCTGATCACTGGTGGTAGTGGTGAATGCTAATGACTGAGGATTATCACTCCCATGGGTCAAGCAAAGGGTTGTAAATGAGTTGTTTGATAGCTAAGAAGGCCAATCAGAGAGCCGCAGACTCTCTGGCAGATGCCACAGGTGGTGGTTAAAGGGAGGATTAAACCACAGGGATTCTTGACTAGCGACTCCCAGGGATCACTTTGTCTGTGCTCATCACCACTTGTCCATCATAGAATGTTAGGGTTGAAAGGGACCTCAGGAGGTCATCTAGTCCAATCTCCTGCTCAAAGCAGGACCATCCCTAACTAGATCATTCCAGCCAGGGCTTTGTCAAGCTAGGCCTTAAAAACCTCCAAGGATCGAGAGTCCACCACCTTTCTAAGTAGCCCTCCTAGTAATACAATTCTTCCTCATACCTAACCTAAACCTCCCTTGCTGCAACTTGAGATCATTGCTCCTTGTTCTGTAATCTGCCACCACTGAGAAGAGTCTAGCTCCATCTTCTTTGGAACTACTCTTCAGGTAGTTAAAGGCTGCTATCAAATCTCCCCTCAGTCTTGTCTTCTGTGACTAAATAAGCCAGATCCCTCCGCTTCCTCAGAAGTCATGTTCACCAGTCCCCTCACCATCTTTGTTGTACTCTGCTGGGCTCTCTCCAACTTGTCCACATTCTTTCTGTAGTGGGGGGCCCAAAACTGGATACAGTACTCCAGATGTGGCCTCACCAGTGCAGAATAGAGGGGAATAATTACTTCCCTCAATATGCTGACAACGCCACAACTAATGCAGTCCAGGATGCTGTTAGTCTTCTTGGCAACAAGAGTACACTATTGACTCATATCCATCTTAGTGTCCACTGTATCCCCTAGGTCCTTTTCTGCAGAACTGCTACTTAGCTTATTGGTCCCAAACCTGTAGTGGTGCATGGGATTTTCCATCCTAAGTGCAAGATTTTGCACCTGTGGAACCTCATGAGATTTCTTTTGGCCCAATCCTCCAACTTGTCATGGTTGCTCTGAATGCAAGCCCTACCCTCCAGCATATCTACTACTCCCTTCCCCACTCCCCTCCCCTCAGCTTGGTGTCATCCATGAACTTGATGAATGTGAAATTCATCCCATCTTCCAGATCATTAATGAAGATATTGAACAAAACTGGCCCCAGGACCAACCACTGGGGCACTGTAATTGATACTGCATTGCTGCAGGACTTTGTAGAAATCATGGGTGTTGATACTGGTTATTGTAGTAGATGTTGGACTAGTGGAAAACGCCTACATGTGACTTATTTTATGTGAGGAGGCTCTTGTGCTTCAGCAAC